CGCAACTCCAATTAAACAATATTTCTGCTTAAATATCCGGGCACATGAAGATATGAAATACAGCCCTGGAAATCTATAAAGAGAGAATTTTTTTCATTATTAAAAAAAAAAGCAAGTAGTTGTCTATAGATTGAAGTACTGGGCATAAATAATACCTTGAGAAGTGTAAGACACCTGTTATATTTACATTTTTTATTAATAGTAATGGAAATATATATTATATATTTCCTCCATCTTTCAGTCTAGCACCATAAAAAAATAAAAAGTAATACTATTTAATCACCCACAGCTTAATAGTGCCTTAGTTGTTTACTGCCAGTGTACTAATTGTTCTGTACTAATGTGTTTTTCTGTGATATCCAGTAGTGCTAAGAGAACGGAGATCTATAACCAATTAAATATAGTGTTTTGTATGTTAAAAATATATCTGGGGAGGCTAGAAAAGGAACAGAAGCCGCCCTTAAGCAAGGCGCGTTGGCACCGTGTCGGCGCCCAGCAGAAGGTGCCCGCACTGCCTCTTTTGCGCAGAGACAAAGGGGGTAATTTTTTTGGCAAGAAAACAAACCCCAAGAAAACACAACAAACTGAGTGTTTCCTTTTTTTTTTTTTCCCATCCCCCCCTCCTGCTACTCCTCAGGCTGTTTCTGGTCTCTTTCCGAATCAGGGAGAGGTGGGTTGCGGAGCCAGGCAAGGGTAGCAGCCCCACCACACTGAGCCCCCTGCAGGTCCTTCGGGGGGTTGGGGGGGGGAGGGAGGCTGGCCCCAGGCCCGGCGGGGTTCTACAGCGTAAGCCGGAAAAGCGCCCCATTCACACGCTGGCGGCCTCGGGCACAGGGTTAATTGAGGATCATTGTTGGTTCCAACAGGAGCCGGGTGCCGGGGGTGGGGGTGTTTGTGTGTAGGGGGGGCAGCCCTTGCAGAGAGAGCAAGGTGATGATGGGGAAACTGGACACAATAGCTTTCATCGCAATTACCAAAGACCCTGAGAGTAACCAGAAAAACGCCGCCCAGGTCCGGAATATGTGCGGGCCAGCTCACAGTGCACACACACTCACACAAACACGCGCGCACACGCACACACACTCACTCTCACACGCACTCGGGCACGCACTTGCTGGCGCGGCGCCCGGTGGCTCCCGGTGGCGCTCTGTGGCAAGGCGGCCGCGCGATCTCAAGCTGCCCTCACCCGCCGCCCTCCCGCCGCCTGCCAGCGGGCCCCAGCCCGCGCCCGGGCCCCGCCGAGCGGCCGCACTTCACCTTACGGAGGGGGAGATAATGAGATCAATTAGAGGCGCCGTCACCGCGCCGAGACAGCTGCTGGTGCATAGTAATCACTGCGGGGGCTCCCAGCTACCTGCGCGCCATCGTTGCACCGCAAGTCCCTCCCTGTTCCGCACTGCTTAGCCTTGTGCCCTCCTGTCACCTTCTCCTGGAAGTCACCTCTTAGATGGCCTGTAATGTCCAAGAGCAAGGCCGTGCTTGCAGTGTGACAGTGTGTGGATGTGAATATGCACACCGGTATGGATGCCAGGGAGAATCTGCCCCTGTGACTGTTGGTGTGTGCTCCTGGATGCTGGCATCCTGTGCATTTGCACTGGTGGCCTACAGGATTGTAGGTGTGTGTGTGTGTGTGTGTGTGTGTGTGTGTGTGTGTGTGTGTGTGTGTGTGTGCAGATGAGCTTAATGGTATGCACAGAACTCCCTCCCCTACACTTGTGCTTTATGAGGTTCGTTTTTGTAGGTAGCTTAGGAGAAAGCTGCATGTGTTTCATGAGCCCGTGTATGTGTCTCTGTGTGTACATGAATAGAAGTATGTGTGTGGGTCCATGCACATGCCAGATGGGTACCACACCCCTCTCCTTCCAGCAGCTCTATGGTGCTCAATTATTTCTTTAAAGGCCAGTTGTTACTGAGAGAATACCAAGTTTTCCATGTGACTGTGATTCACAACTTGGACACTCTCCCCATACTCCTGCCATTTTTTTTTTTTTTTTTCACTGTCTATCATGGTTTCTAATCCAGATCACTGCTATGTCTCCTCAGGTCTGGGGATTTGTCCTTGTGGCTTCTGCCTAATTCTACACTTCAGAAGGGTCTGGTTTCATAGGCAGTGTGAGCACCCATCTGAGCACTGTGTGCCCTCATTTACCACTGGACAGGAGAGGAGGAGGCTATGAAGGGCCAGCAAGTCTTCTCAGATAAAGGGCAGCACATCATTTCCACCTCAGCTACTCCTTAGCCCTTCAATGTGTTCAGGTTAGCCATTAAGAGTGTTTCTTAGCCGGGCGGTGGTGGCGCACGCCTTTAATCCCAGCACTCGGGAGGCAGAGGCAGGCAGATCTCTGTGAGTTCGAGGCCAGCCTGGGCTACCAAGTGAGTCCCAGGAAAGGCGCAAAGCTACACAGAGAGACCCTGTCTCAAAAAAAAAAAAAAAAAAAAAAAAGAATGTTTCTTGTCCTCGACAGTGGTTGAGCAGGACCAGGGCTCAGAAAACAAAATTGATAAGGGTCAAAAGGCAGGTAGGCCTACTACAATAGTCCTCCATGGAGGATATGTGGAGATCTCTCCCTATCCAATGATACCCCACAAGCTGAATAGTGCCAACTTATATATAAGTGCCTTTACTTACATAACTATGTTTTATTCCAAAATTAGGCATAATCAGAGACTGAGGAGGGCTGGATAGCTTGTAAAGGATGAATATGCTGGCCTGGTTAGGGCAGAGCAGGATGGAGCAAATGAGAGGTGATTTAAAACTTACTAATTGTTTACTTCTGGAATTTCCCATTTAATATTTTCAGGCCGATTTCTGAGTAACAGAAATCTTGGAAAGCACAACCTGGTATAATGTAAACTGTGGAGGCAGCTAACTCCAGGCAACTCAACTGCTCTTCCCTTAGATAGTCCTCAGGGACCACTATACCCACACAATGTCCCCTTGCAATCACTCGTGGGTTGTCTAGCTGTATTTCCCTATGGTACCCACTGTGGATTTTCATGTGTTCATCTGACTTCTGCTTCCTTCATCATGATACATGTGCTTTACAAGGCCAGAACCTTGCTGTTATGTCACTAAGTACCTAGCTCCTGGCATGGTGCTAGGCAGAGTGATCCCTGTGTAAATGGCCAACACATACTTGAGGCATCTACTACCTGGCTGCCCTAAGGACTCCTAATCCAGTGACAGAGAGCATACTGAGGGCAAGGCCATACACGGGGTATGGATTGAGTATCCTGAGGTAGGGACCCAGGAAAGGGATAGAGGATCTCTGAGATACTGTAACCAAGAGATGTGTACCAACACTGGGCAGAGACATGAAGAAGAATGTATGACTGAGGTGTAGGAAGAGCCCAGGCAGGAGGGAGCAGTGGACTTTCCCACCAGTCTGCAGGCTCCTTGAAATCAGGGGACAGTTGGGAGCTCCTAGCTTTCATTCTCCGTGTCTTCAGATATGGTAAGGTCTTTAATGCTTCCTAGTTGGGTTCCATTTACAGACCTGGTCCTGTGGATGTTTTGGTGCCCAAGGGCTATTCCTCTGTGGCTGTAGCCTTTGTGGGCACGAGTCTAACTTCAGCCCTAATGTGAACCTTGAAGGGTCTTTCAGCATATGACTTGACCTGTTTGTCTTTGGGAGGATAGTGGCCAGTTCTGTCTTCCAAGTGCTGAAATGGATGCTTATAGAACCAGCCTTGTCCTAGCCTGGAGAACTTGACATGTTCTGTGTCTACTGATACCTTTGTGTGACTTAATGGGGTGGCTTGGCTGTGTCCTAGGTGCTAAGAAAATCCTAGCAAATTTTTCACATTCCCTGTAAATACATTTCTCTCTCCCTGAGGTCTCTACCTGAGTCTTTATCTTTCTGACTCAATCTTTGCCCCAGCCTGGGCCAGTCTACTCTCAGGAACCTCAGAATGGGAGGTGAGGAGGTTGGGATAGGTGACTAGGACCCTAAAAAAGAACTCATGCAATGCCTGTTACAGGGTAAACTGGTTGTCCATACCATCCTGGGTCTCTCCTGGGGACAGGTTCCACCAGAAGTTGGTTATTTCAAGTCCCCCAGCATTCTGAGGGTTTACTATGTGCCAACTATATTCTATTGTTGATGTTAGGGACACAGATTTGGTCCTTGTCCCACATCTGTCGGTGACTTTAACAGTTTGGGTTTCTCAGAGCATTGAGTGTAAGTCAGAATTGATATAATGAGAATATCTATATCATATATATGTATGTATGTATATATGCACATATATGTATATTCACACATACACATACACACATATATTGCTGAGTAGTATTGGTGGAATTATTAAGGCAACTCTACATAGTTAAAAGGGAGGTTTATTTTGTGGGGTAACTTACAAGTAAAGGGATAGGTTACAGGGTTCGGGAAAGGTGTAGTGTTCTCTGGAGAACTCTGCTCCATCTACCTCCAGTGTCCAGAATCCAGGAACCAAGAGTGCTAGTATATTGGGATCTCAGATGTTAAGAGCTCCTGTCTTGGCCCCACCTCATAGGCATGACAGTTACCAGAAGCCTCAATGGGGGTAGTACTTTCAGGTCAAAGCTGGAGTAGCTACGCACTACAGAGTAGTTTTATATTGACTTGACACAAGCTACAATCTGAGAGCAGGAAACCTCAGTTGAGAAAATGCCTCCATAAGCCTGGGCTGTAGGCAAGCCTGTAGGGTATTTTCTCAATTAGTGATTGATGTGAAAGGGCCCAGCCCATTGTGGGTGGAGCCACCCTAGGCTTGTGGTCCTGAGTGCTATAAGAAAGCAGACTGAGCAAGCTATTAGGAGTGAGCCAGTAAGCAGTACTCCTCTATGGCCTCTGCATCAACCTGCCCTGACTTCCTTCCTTGATGAACTGTGATGTGAAAGTGTAAGCAAAATAAGTGCTTCTTGTCATGGTATTGACAAATACTCATTGTCATCATCACAGCAGTTGATATCCTAACTAAGACACACACACACACACACACACACACACACACACACACACACACACACACACACACGAGTTTATTGGACTGGCTCCTGTCTGTGACCCGGATAGTCCAACAGTGACTGTCTCTTCATGGAAAGGGCGAGAATCCAGTTGTTGTCCAGTCTACAAGACTGGATGTCTCAGCAGTCCCAATCTGTCACTGGTGTCATAGAGGACTCCTGGAGAGCTGCCGGTCTTCAGCCTACACTGATGATGCCCCAAAGAACACCAACAACTGAATGCCTCTGTAACAAGATAGATAAACTTGCCAGTGAGAATGAGGGCAAGCAGGGTTCAACCAGAAGATTAGATTTAGGATGAGTCTTCCCACCTCAAGTGAGCTGGTTAAGAAAATCCTTGTAGGTGTGCCCAGCAGGTTGAGTTTTAGTTGATTCCAGTCCTTGACAACCAAGATCAGCGTCGCAGTTTGAAGAGCGGGAAAGGAGAGACAGCTCTAGCTGGAATTGTAGGAAGAGCCAGGTTAAGATGCAAGCAGTTATCTGAGTTCATCTTGTGAATACAGCTAGAGAGAGTAAAAACATCCACTTTCAGTTTCCCAAATATAGAGTTTATGCATCTTAAGCGGAACTCACATGACAACACCAAGGAAGGGTGTGGAGACAGTGTCCTCTTCCTCCTTTGTGTGTGAGGGTCTAGCTATGCATAATCCATGTTTGAGACCCAGGCTGGAAGGGTTAGATACTCAAACCATGTGCTGTGTGGTATTTTTCAGTGATGTGAGTCTTGGCTCGCCATTGACTCCAGGCCTCCATACCTAGCTTTTCCCTGGAGCCTTCTGTGGCATAGCCCAGTATACTGAACACTATCTGTTGATTCTTGCCAGGGTGATGTGGAAGGAAGAGGGAGCAGGGTCACACCACAAAAGGATGGAGGGGTTTATGACTGAGCACTAGGAAAGGACAGGCCAGGTTTGAGGACAGCAAGGTGATGGCTGGTAAGCTGAGTCAGCAGGCAGAAGAGATGGAGGCTGGCAGGAAGAATGAAGAAAAGAGATGGCACCTGGGATGAAAAGCAGTGGTTGGAACTGAATGGTTTGCTCATGCCAGATACCACACTCTGAGCCTTGCCTGGCCTTGGCCTCATCTCGCCCTCCAGCATCCTCTGGGCAGATGCTGGGCGTGTTGTTCTGTGGATGAGCCAGCCCTACCTCAGAAAGATGAAGCCCATGTCACAGAGCTAGTCAATGGGGCCTTCTGAGCACAGGACAACATTCTAAGGACTCAGTTCCTCTTCATTCTTCGGCATGGATCCTTCCCATTAAGAAGCTGTGTAGAAGACCTGCAAAAGAAGAAGTGAGCCCCAAAACAGCCCTAGGTATGAGGACATTCTGCAGGGGAAGCCTGTTCCTGAGAACAGAATTTTTTTTTCTGCCAGCAGTCAGCCTTTTGTCTGTCTTTGTGGGGCCCAATTAGTCGACTGTGCCCCTAATTAGCCAGCCTGAGGCAGTACTTGTCGCCTGCATAGCAATTCACACGTGGAGTTAAACGTTGCTGTGGCATGGTGTCATTCCTGGAAATGGGCCACCCCACCAAGCCAGCCCCACAGTGTTGGGAACACTGGAGCCAGGTCCATCAACCACCAGGAACATGGTTGCTCAGCCCTGGGATGACACAGAACCACCAGAGTTTGACTTGCCAAAAAGAGGTAGGCCTGTGAAGAAGGCAAAGTCTGAATTCATTTAGCACCCTATAATTCAACTGATTGAAGCAAAGGCAGGGAAAGAGTTGGTCTGAAACTCTACGAGAAAATTCCTCTGTAGCCTTAGATGTGAGCTCTTTCAGACTAGCAGGTGACTTCTGCTCTTAGAGTTTCAGCTTTAAGTCACTGGAGTTTGCCACAATACTCTCACTTCCCCTAAAGGGGCTGTTTTATGAGGGCACAGAGCTGTCTTGATGTTACAATTTTCTAGAAGGTACATCCCTGTCTGCCTCTTATAGAGTCCAGCCCTGTGTCTACTCAGTGGTGCCCAAGTTATAGTTCAGATACTCTACAAAATCATGTCCCCAAAGCAAGCTTGTCTCTAAACAAAGTCAACGTTCTTGTTATCACCGATGTGTCAGGCATTGTGCTGGGGCCTGGGTGACAGACAGAGTCCTGTTGGTCTTGGTTTAAAGTCTGTACAGGAAGAGGTGTATAGACAAAAAGACAATTCCCATGGGCATTGTGTTTCGACTTGGAAGATGACGCTGATTCAGATGGGTGTGACCTTGAGTGACCTCCCTAAGGAAATGATGTTTTTGCTATACTTTACATAGTGATATGGAGGCAGACATCCATAGGGAGAGGAACCTCCAAGGGTGTTGATCACTTACTTGGAATTAGACTGTGAGCACCAGTGTCCAAGGAAAAGACCTGTGGAGGGACTTTGTAGGCTGGGTAAGCCCAGGGGACCAGATTCCCAGGTCACAGGGAAGCTTTCATAAAGTAGAAACAGTATCCACCTTGTTCACAGCTTTCTTTTAATTGGTAGAAGACAAGACAAGGGACGGTAGTGGGCAGGGCCTGTGGGGGCAGGCAAACTGACTTGACGATTATAGGCAGTTCTGTTCATCTCTCTAGCCCCCTCTGCCCCAACCAAATATCTTCTGTGTTCCAAGTATCACTAGATAAATTCCCACAAACCCAGCAAATATTTCCTCACTTAATTTCTTTTGCCCAAAGAGAGCAGCCAGGGAAAGCAGCAAGCTTTCTCTCCTTTGCTCCGATCTCATCCAAATGGCCCGGGAGACTCCTGAGCCAAGCAGCTTCTTAGGTTCATCATTTGGCTGATGTATTCGCAGCTTTCCCAGGGTTGCAGCCTCTCCCCCCACCCCCATCCAAGACACAGCTCTGTGCCCAAGTGCTAGTTCCTGTGTTATGGCTACTGGTAGACAAAGAGAAGAAGAAACAAACAAACAAACAAAAAATCGGCCCGATGTGGGTGCAACATACACACATCAGCTCGGTACATGGGCCACTATAGGACTCCTGTGTATCATGGATGGTACCCAGTCCTCTTCCACTATGTCAGTCTCCCCAGAATCTGTGGTCTGATGTTAGCCATTCTTTTCCTCCAAGACATTTGGGTGGAAAATCCACAAAACAATAATAGATCGATACATTTAAATTAGAACTTTCAAAAATTCAATAATGGTATTTACAAATTAATAAAGCACTGTAAAGAAAATATCTGCACTTCTTTATTTAGGGTTACAGTTAATTTTTTCATTGATTAAGCATTCTTTTGGTGGAGAGGATGTGAGCAGGGACTTTTTTTGTTTGTTTGTTTGCTAAGAGGGAAGGTGTATAGAAGAGCCCATATGGTTCTGGTCCCACCTGCAAACTCCTCATGCATCACCAGGCAGAGGCTGACAGAGCTGGAAGTGTGGCGTGCTGCATGGAGGCCAGATTTGCTAGATTCCAGTGACCCACGTGTGATGAGGAGGGAGGTAAGGACCAGCAGCTGTGCCACACACGGTGAGTGGTGCTGGCTTCAGATCACCACAGGCAGCGAATTTGGTATAGGGAACTCATTTAGGAGATATCCACCAGGAACCTAGCTTTTTATTCTAGAAAATTTTAAATGGAAATTCTCAAAGTGGCCAGCTTACTTGTCACACCAATATGTAATGCCTGAAAACCACCATTGTGAGTGAGGTTCTCAGGATGCTACCAACTGCTCAGGAGGGTGGATGTGAGCTCACTTAGGAATATCACTAAATTTTTTTCCTTGGGGGATACATAAATAAAGACATCTATTCCCTCCTCCTAAGATCCATACAATATCATCAAAGTTCAGCCTGGGGAACCCATGAGTTTCTTAGGTATACTAGCAAGGCAATGGATGAGAGGTTACAGGCAGGGTCTGGGGTGGCCTTAAAGCATCCACACTGGAAGTCTGTTTCCAGCAGAGGTGATGGCTCCCTATGGCTGTGTAGATGGAGCCCTTCCCCTGGTTCATCCCCCAGCTATGCACTTTAGCCCCTTCCCTGAGACCCCAAGGCCATGTTCAATTAGGACAGAATTGCAAGCAACTAGTTGGGATTGGTGGCTGGACACTTGAGTGAGGGTCCCACGACCTTCCTGACCCCTCCTTCTATGGGGGAATGTCAACAGTCAACAAGCCCAGCTGTGATGATCTTTTGTGAGTAGACTCCTGAAGAGGGTGGTAGTTTGGCTGCAAGATGAGTAGGGGAGATGAGGGGAAGGAGGGGAGAGGAGAGAGATAATCCTATTCAACTGGAGTCGGGGCTTGCCTAGTCTGGGCAGTGAACAATACTGAGAAAGCAAGTTGAAGTCACATCATAGGAGGTCCAGGGAGGGGGACTGTGTCCTTATGGGCTACTCTGCCAGTCAGATAGGAAAGGCCTCAGCCACAGGCACTCTAGGCCACTCCTTCCCTTCTTGCCTTCTTTCACTGCAAAGTATTGATAGAGGTCCATAGTAGGCTGCATGCTGTGCTAATGATGGGGAATTGTGGCGGTCAAGGAGTGAGGCTTAGGCCCTCTTACAGACACATTATCCTAGTGGACCAGATGGAGATGGGTATCCAGTGTCTACTTCTACAGCAGTTCCAGGGCAAATTCAGCATTGGGGGCATGGGACCATCAGGCACTGATGCAGATCCCGAGACAGCAAGGCTGTGATGTGGGCAGAGACAAGAGCAAACAGCCATGCAGAGAAGAGAGTAGAAGTGTAACTCCCATACAGGTCCCCCAGTGGAGGTGGAAAGAGAAGAAAGGGGACAGGAACAGACCCAAGAGGGGAGAGGGCAGGGTAAGAGTGAAAGGAGGTTATGACCTGATGGGTTGTAGTGGGGCATGGGGAGGGAGATGGGGCCGTCTGCTGGCCTCACTTGCACAGAATACTGTGCCTGGATCTCCTCCTTGCTTAAGCTCCTCCACCAGCTGTTTGCCGTTTCCCAGCGTTGTCTTGATTACTTGTTAACTACATTATAATGTCCAAACCTAGGATTCAAGTCCCGATACTCCAATCTTCACAGGCATCCTTATCTGGCTTACAGATACCTGTGTGACAAGCCACATTCCTCCTGGGCAGGTAGACTATACAAAACACCTCTATGTCTTCTGCCTTCTAGCTCACTGTCTTCTCAATGTTATCTCCATAGCATTTACCACTTTCAGATACACCAGGGCCTAGAATTGTCCATTCTTGTGCATTAACCATTTCCTTGACTTAGAAAACTAACCAATTATTATCTTTCTCCTAACCATGCATCTGCTTTGAAAACTCACCTCACTCCTACTTATGTTTTTGGGCAAAATTAGTTCCTTTTCCAGTTGGATTTTCTGTGTGTCTCTTTTTGTGTGTGAGTATGCTTGCTTCTTCATGTGTTTGCATGTCAGGGTCATGTGTGGCTGCATGAAGAGGCCATAGTTAACACTGGGTATCTTTCTCGATCACTCTCTACCTTACTCTCTGAAAGTCTTTCACTGAACCTGAAGGTTATCAGTCTGGTTAGACACATCACTGGATACCACTTTCACGTGGGTACCAGGGTTCTGAACTTAACTCCTCATGTTAATTCAGCAAGACCTTTACCAACAGAGCCATTTCCCAGGCCCTCTGGTGGGGTTCCCGTCTCTTTTGTCTGTGATGGCTCTCTATTTAAATGTCTGTCCCTACTCTTAACTCTTCTGACCAGAGTAGATTCTCCTCAACACTCATGGCCCCCTGCAGTATCCAGAGTTAGGGATTAGGTAGCCATATGCCAGTTCTTATAAGCAGGTTTAAGGGGCAGAAATTGTAGCATCAGTTCTGTGTCTCATAGAGCATGTATGTCATAATGGAAGCAGTAGTGTGACCTGCCCTTGGGCTCCTGATGAGAGGACCACATCAAACTGCTTCCAAGAGCTTATGTGAAGTCACAGCCAGCCAATTTTTAAGACATTATATGAGACCCGTGCGTCTGAGATTCTGATAAAAGGATGGAAGAGAAAGCAACACACAGGCTAGAGTCAGTATGACCCCTTCATGACTGAAGTGTCCTGGAGATGCAGAGAAGGCAATTGGCAGAAGAGCATCTTGTTTGGGTTTAAGTACCACTTTCCTTTGCAGGCTCCACTGCCCTGTGGTGAGAGCCTGTCTGCATCTGACAGTGGAACCAAGAGAATGAGTGGGAACTGGAGGCAGGTACTGCAAGCAGCGGCTTTTGTGTCTCACCATGCTGGGGACAGTTGAGGCCGAGACTCCTGAACTCCTCACTGCAGCAGGCTGGACCTAGAACACCCTGTTCAGTAAGGCTGGCTAGTAGGGGCAAC